CTAGACCGTCCTCTGGTGCTGAGAGATTTCCCAGAAGCCGAGAATAATGCTAATGTCCGGGGGAGTGATTCGACATTCCGAAACTATCTGATGTAAAGCAATGGAGGAAGCAACAGTTAAGAACAATTACCGTCGAGCCCCAGTTATCGGGTCATCAGTTCCGCAGTCAAGCTCCTCCAAGTAATCAATTTCCAAGGTTTTCCTGGTTCATCACACGTGTTTCCCACCGTGTCTGGCCCAGGACACGGTGGGAAACACGTGTGATGAATCCTGGGGTTGAGGAAACTTCCCCACGACCTCTCCCTCAGGGACTTCGTGGAGCAGCAGATACACAGCAGGCATGAAGTGAGAAAAGCTAAATACAAAATAAAAAAATGGCCAGTAGAAGTTTTACTCCCTCCCTCTTTCCGAAATCCCTCGCGTACGTCGTGCCCTGGGATAGGGTCACAAACTGTACACTCACCTCCGTAGACGGTTTTTCCATGGAATAAGTCCGCAGCTGCAGCAGCGCGTCACTTTCTGAGCCCGAAAATGCATAAGAACGGGAATAGTGGGGAGTAGTCCCGAGTGCTGTTTTCACACTCCACTCGTGCTGTTTTCAATGTGCATCATTTGCGTCGGTACAAAGATCCCGCAGCTAAACACGCACTCAGCGGCGGAGAACATCCAGAAGAGGGAGGGAGCAGGACAAGTAGCGTGTTTGGCTATGGTCAGACGCGCGACTGACCCAACGGTAGAGAGGGTGGAGTCCCGAGCTGCACTTGGGTATCACTACCCTCCGACCATGTCCCTGCACACTTGTCACCGAAAAAGTGAAACGCTACTGCAGCTGCGGATCCAATCACCTCGCACGTGGCAAAGATCAGGATCCGTGGAGGTGAATGTACACTTTGTCTTTGATGCGCCACCCATTCAACTTTTATTTGAAATCATTGTGTCTTTGAAGTAGGTCACTAGGCGACAATAATGTGTCATGTTTCCAGAGTGTTCAAGAGCAATAAGTCGAGATTATTCCGTTGCGATGGTCTTTTTATGTTGAATCATGTTTCCTGAATACATTCAAAGACTCTCGATCTGTTGACTAAACTTCGCTTGTCATGCTGTTCGCAGGCGCGCCCTTGAAGACAGTTGTATGTTTTTTCTTGTCAGCGGTTAATCGACACTTGGTGGACTTCCTGGACTGACTAAGGGAGAGAGAGGAGCGATAAAAGACTCTTGTGCAAAACCGAGATTTTCTCGTAATGGAGATGAGAAATTGTGCTAAGGGGGAAACCTTCCAGAGGAGTGCAACCCGACTATTTGAGTAAACTCACTTTGGCACTACTGTCATTGCATTCTTACCACAGCAATTTCCACAAAAGCCGCTCCATCTAACAGGTTTAGTGTTTACTGCAATTTTTTTCACTGAGGACTCGTCTGCGGGCTAGAGGCACGAACTGAGGGTTTTTTTATGGCAGGGATAAGATTGCGTGGACGAGACAGTTTCTTCTAGGTCAATGGATAGAATGTTGCTGTCACTGAGAAGGTCGTCACCCCTTGTTGATGGAAATTATTTACAAAACTTGAAAACATTATTGTTGGGAAAACCATAATATCATTACTATGCCCTGTTCTTGGTCGTTTAGACCGACTGACTGTGCCAGCATTCTTCTCTTCAACATTCCTTAACCCCGAGACGGAATAGGCGTGGCATTCGGACATCTCATGGGATGGGTTAATCGTGGGATATTTCAATTTGAGACAACTGTGACCTTGTGTTGGACAAAGACATGACCTACAGTTGTGTCAAAATGAAGATATCTCACCAAAAGCACAGCCACCGCCACATTTAGTTGAAGTACGCCTACCATATCTCAGGGATTTCGAGTATATTTCTCCGCTTCTCTTCCAACTGGATCCTGGCAGCTGCATACCCCACGCACTGCCCTCAGATATGTATATCGTGCCCTTAAATGAACACAACTGCAGATGGAGTTTGAGTGCACGGCTCACTCCTGCAAATCTAATTTTCTACGATGGCCCCAATAATTTTACACGTTTAGTATGAATATATGTTCATCTCATACTTCGCGTCCTTAAAGGCAGTTGGCACGATAAATCCCTCAAGACGAGTAGGATTAATACGCCTGGCAGGACGGAATTCCGCGACCCTGAGCAGGCGCTGCATAGCGCCTTTCCCAAGGAAGGTGCCCTTATAAGGGCCCTATGAAGCTACAACATTCCGACCCGAACGCCCGCCCGCCCACAAATGGACGACCGTTCCTGACGCTCGTATTCATTCATTTGCTAAGCAAATTATGAAGCGAAGGGATTGGTATGAAGCGGCCGTGATGCTGCATGCATATATGGGTACACATATGCAGCCGTATTTCGTAGCGGTGATTGGCAAGATGCCTACGGGAAACTCGTCCGAAATCGATTTTCAAGTCACTGAGAACGGAGGCTTTTTCTTCGCAGGATTTTGACCGTTTCCGTTCTTTCGCCATTTCCCCACTATATAGCGCCCTACTAGCATTTTAGGCCGAGCACCAAATCATCGTGCCAACTGCCTTTAAGGTTACTCTCACGAAGAAATCCTCATGCAATACAGTTCGTTGTTGGCAGGGTTACAATGGTTTTGAATTCAAAATGGTGCTCTATTGAGGACCATGATATAGACGATATAAAACCACTTTCGATTGCATCACATCAAGTTCCAATGACGCAAAGGCAGTTGTTCTGGCGTCTTATGATGTTCTAGTCTGATTGGCAAGCAGATGATGTCATTGACAATCTCCCCGTAAAAGTGTTTGAAAACAGCCTCAATCCTCGAATGCACTATCCGAGCGATTCCGGGAGAGGCTTGTGAATTGAGGACGCATGAGTTTTGATGAAAGCGATTATCACAGGACAAGATGTTCTCCGAGAAGGAACCTGTTCTGCTAGAAAAACATTGCCTATGGCCACTAACGAGAGGGTTCACGGAAGATAGAGCACTTTTCTTTGATCGATACCCCCTTCGAAAGGTGACCGGAGGGCAAATCATCGTTCGGAACTTGAGGGGTTGTCTTTGGTCTTTTGAAAAAAAAATTTTCTCAAGTCTTTTCTGCTTCATTTTCCTATTCCACGGACGCTATAAGGGAGGGGGTCCTAGTTGCTAGTTGTTCGTTAAGGGTGAGGGGTCCCTCCATCCTTTGCAAGAAATTTTGCGGTGTGGGGAAAATTTTTCCTGGTTGTCGACTTTTCACGGTTTTTCGCGTTTCACATGTGCATAACTCCCTCCCTGCTCGACAGCTTAATCGTATCAGAGGGGGTAACCAGGAGTGGGGTGTATCAGGCCACCCACGAACGCGGAGGTCTTACGGACTCGACCAAAATCCCCCAACTTTAATGTTCCTCTGGTCAACTCTAAGGAAAGATTTACTTATTTTATTTATTTATCTATTTATTTATTACGGATACACAGGTACATGAGATGCCGTAGCATAAATTACACTAACTAAATAAAACAACAAAACTCAAGCATAACTTGTAAATGAAAATGAAACATGTAAAAAGAAGTTAAGAAAGGAATACAAAAGAGTCAGGTCTAAATAAAGCCTAGCACTTCATCGATCAGCGGCGGCAGGTGTGGAGGATCTTGCCCCTCTTGATAATAGGAGAGGCGGATAAAGCCTTTGAGCGGTAGCACTATCATACATAGCGGAATTTAAATGAACTAGGTGCTTTTAAGCATTTGACATTCCTAAGCCTAGATGAAATCCGTAGCGGCCCACCAGAGGAAAGAAATAAGATTTAACGAAAATCCTGGCTTTAGAAATGAAGAGCTTGAATATACCTCCACCAGTATTAGACCGAAGAAGGGAAGAATGTGTCCATATTTGCGGCAACGTCCACCACAGCGACCACCAGCGTTCCGAGCGTCCGGCAGCGTCAGCGACTAGGGAGGTGTAGGTATCGATCAGCGTCTGAGTCATTGCCAAAAAAAAGGGGGGGGGGTCCACCAGCGACCGGAAGTGGGGAGTATGGGCATTTTAGGAGGGGGGCGAGAGGTAAAGCGGATAAGCGTTCCGCGTGAAATGCGGCGTCCGCGACCGTACCGTACAACTGCATTACACCTTACACTAATTTGCATAAGTCTGTGCTGTAGCAACACCCCGCAATTTCCCGACGCCTAATCCAGCTGTTTACTTCCCTCCTACTTCCCCATACCCTCTACTCCCGGTAGCTGGTGAACGCTGGCAGACACTGGCAGACGTCAGATCGTTTACCTATACTTCCCTAGCGCTGACGACGCTGCCAGACAGAACGCTAGTTGTCGCTGGTGGACGCTGCCGCAAAATATAAACGCAGCTTAAGGTCAAAGTAAGTATAGGGAACCAAGGAGCTGCTCTCATTTGCCATTTTCAACTTACTATGCAGTACATTAGCAGAAAATACGTACATTTGCAGCATTCGTGAAGACACCGCTGAAAGAGGCTAGAACGAAGACGCAAGCAGGCACCAGTCCGATCGCCGCCAGCTAAGATTGCGTCGCCTCGAGCTCAACTACGTGAGCTCAGCATGATCTCTACGCACTCTCACTTCCATCAGCCAAAGAAGGCTGATCGATCAGCTGGTCGATGCGAAGGAATCTTCTCAAAAAGCATCGCATTCTGAACCTCTTCTTGAAGCGCACCACTCTTGCACCACTACAAATTCCTCACCCAAGCTCCTAGTAGTACTGTACTGTTGCACCAAAATTTCCTGAGACCATCCCGCACAGCACATTTTCACATTTTCAAATCGCCCTGTACTATGACAGTCGATTTCAGCAATCAAATCGGCGATTCTGATACAAAAATGGTATCGACGATGTCAAGGCTCGGTTAGAAGCACGACGTCGAGCCACGTGGAGCATCTTCACCACTCTAGAATATGCCGGTGAACAAGATCAGTTGAAGGTAAGTGTTGTGCGTTCACAGAACGTTGAAATATCCTTCCTGTAGCTGTACGACTTTTTCAGTGATGTAATCAGCGCCATGGTGAACAGCGAAGGCGAAGACGATGGCAATTCGCCGTTTGCCTCCGGTGAGTTTGATTTTGAGGTGATTTCAAGATGAGTAAACTAAGTGAGTGTTTTCCAGCGATCAGCTCCTACGCGAATGATGGTGAGTGAGTGATGAAATGAGTTTATTGAGTACACGTGATTAACTGACTGCATTGGTAAAGACTACGATAGTGACGATGCGTTTCGGAGACTGATGGAAAAGGCGAATCCGGCGAACATGACCGTCGAGAAGCACTACAAAGGACCTGTGCTCACATTGCCGCTCGACAAACAGCAAATAGCGGCCATGATCGAAGCCTTCAAAGTGAACAAGGTGGGTTTCAACTCAGAAATGTCGTCCTCTTCCAGAGGCTGTCCAATGATTAGCACTTCGTGGCCATAAATCGTGCAGCACTTTGAACACAGGGGTAGGCCTGCGTTCATACTCTGCGGCAGCGTCCACCAGCGACAGCGTCCACCAGCGTTCCGAGTGTCCGGCAGCGTTAGCGACCAGTAAAGTGTTGATATTGATCTAGCGTCTGCCAGAGTCCACCAGCGCCTACCAGCTCCTCGAGGCCTAGGGAAGTATGGGTATCAATTTAGCGTCTACCAGCGTCTACCAGCGTTGCGAGCGTCCGGAAGCGCCAGCGACTAAAAAGGTATAGATATCGATCTGGCGTCTGCTAACGTCTAGCAGCGTCCGCCAGCATCCACCAGCGACCAAAGGCGTCTCGAAGGCTGAGGAAATAAAGGTATCAGATCGATCAGATCGTTAGTGCCTACCAGCTACCGGGAGTGGAAAGTATGGCGCGACAGGAAGGTAGCATACCGGTAGAGGAGGGTGCGATGGGAGGGTAGCAGACAGCTGGTGAAGTATGGAGAAATAGGTGGGTAGCAGACTACCGGTAGAGATATGGTACGATAGAAGGGAGACAGACAGCTCATAGAGTATGGGTAGATAGGTGGGTAGCAGACTACTGGTAGAGAGTGTGGCGCCATAGGAGGGTTGATACCTGGTACACTGGTATCGCACCATAATCTCTACCAGCAGTCTGCTGCTGTCGCTGGTGGACGCTGTTAGACGCTGGCAGACGCTAGATCGATACCTATACTTCCCTAGCCCTCGAGACGCTGACGGACGCTGGTAGACGCTGGTGGACGTGGCAGAAGCTAGTTTGATATCTGTACCTTCCTAGTCGCTGATGCTGCCGAACGCTTGAACGCTGGTGGACGCTATTGGTCGCTGGTAGACGCTGCCGCAAAGTATGAACGCACCCTAAGCAAAACAGAGCACCGGAGAGGTGCCATTCCATTATAGGCATACACCTTGGCGCAATCGTTGACCGGTTTATATCCGTTTTGCCGGCAGGTCAAAAGAAAATAATCTCAATGCTGAGGGTTTGACTTCCAGATTATGCATGTGCGGTACGTGCTGCTGATTCTCTTCGAGGCCCGACGGCTTCTGAAACAGCAGCCTACGGTCGTTCGCCTTTCTACCTCAATTTCTAATCAGGTAACGTCTGGATATTAGCCCCCGTTCCAACTACTCAACTAGTTTAATATTTAGATTACGGTATGCGGTGATTTACACGGGAAATTCGATGATCTTTGTATTATTCTTTATAAGGTAAGTAGCCCATCAAACATGCAAGGAAACTCTGAATGTCGTCTATTTCAGAACGGCTATCCATCGCTTGATAATCCATACATCTTCAACGGTGACTTTGTTGATCGTGGAGGCCAATCAATCGAGGTTCACACATCCTTCCTCTTCCATTGCTTACAATCTTTGCAGTTTCTGCACCGATTACTGTAGGTGTGAGCATGGCAGATGTGCACAATTTGTAGTAATGCACATCCTTAGACGCTCAGTGTTCGTTTCACGTTCCGCGGCCACCTAGGTGGATTCACTTCCTCGTATACGGTAACTCAGTCAGCAGGGCAAGGGCACTATTTTCACAGTAGGGTGACCCGAGATTATGAGTTCAGGAAGTCAGGTGAGTACAGTACCCTCGAAAATTGCCAGTGCACATCATTGCTGGGGATTCCTCCACGGGGGGGGGTCGTATTTGGTCGCTGGGGAAGGGGAGGGGTCGTATTTGGTTGAAAAAATTTTTGTAGCAGCTGATTTTTCTTGTTTCACGGTAGCTGTAAGTGAGGGAGGGTGGGGGGTTGCATTTGCTCGTTGTTGGGAGAAGGGGAAGGATCGTACTTACTTCTGAGAGAAATTTGCGGCGTTGGGAAAAACTTTTCCCGGTTGTTGACTTTTCGCGGTTTTTCCTGTCCCCTCCCCCTGTTGACAGCGAAATTCCGGAGAAAAATTGGGAAAACTTTTCGGGAAATTCCTGAAGAACTGGTAAGAAAGTTGGGAAAATCTATGAAAGTGGTAGGTAGGATGGTGAAGGCTCGATCCTATCTTGAGTAAAGTAGGAGAGTCGTATCAAGCCACGCTTCAGGGGGGGAGGTTGGGATTGCTGCGCGGGGAGCGACCTGCCTGGCTCCAGCAGGCGCTCCCACGCGCAAGCATACCGTGTCCCACGCAACCCTCGATGTAGTTCCTCGCACCCCGTTGTGTGTGTTTAATTCACGGGACGACACCTTTAATTTCAAGCTATTTTCAGGGGTACTGTATACACCCTGACGTCCTGAACCTATAAAATTGTTAGAGTGACAAGAGGGTTAATGCCACCACTTGAAGAAGTGATTCCACCACCCAGGAGAGGTCCTACGTAACGTCGGTCGTTCACTATGAAAATACTCACAACTCTCCTTTGCCTTCTCGTCGAGACTGTGTCCCACTTCTTTCGCAGATGATTCGGCGTATTTCGTGAAGAAACGATTTCGCCACTGATAACTTCGTAGAGTATCCAAAGGACTCTCAGGCAAAACCGGGATTAACATCACTTGAATCTAAAATTTGATTGAATTTCACGATCTCCTTTGTGATTTCCAATTATTTAGGCGGCCGCTTTGATATAAAGAACTCTTATTTGAAGTGTTGTGGCGTACTCTAACGCCTGTTTCGTATGGATCCGACATGGCCAAATTGACGTTGACGAAGGCAAATCATTGAGGATACAGTATCATGAATCTTTCCGCCTTACGGGTAGTCATCCAGGAGACTATGACTAATACAAGGCTAGGAAAATAAGAATGAGTAATGGAAAGTGGACAAATTGTCAAGTAAAAGGCTGCAAGCACGCAAATGACTAGATAAACCAGGGGAACCCATGCAACTTGAGATATTTTTGTGTGCACACCTTGAGTGTAATAAATAAATAAACTTCTTTCGCTCTTCTGCTCAAGCTCTTATGTATGAAATGTGACATAAATGTGGTATAATTAGTTTATGGTTGTTTTAATGATTTTAAAACATTATTGTATGAAACTGTGATATAAATTTCAAATATTGATTTATTTATTTGTTTATTTATTTTGAATCAAATTTTCTTTATTGATTTCAAGGAAGAGTCTAGTTTCCGTTTCGCACGTGCCCTTAGACCATCGAAATAGGTCACAATATTTTCTCTTCTCTCATAACTCTACCATTGAGAATTTGTTCTATCAGGACCATTCGACCACCATCACGAAGACGCTTGAAGACTTGTTCTCGTGGTTACCGATCGCCACCATTATCGACAAACACATTTTTGTTGTCCATGGTGGGATCTCGGATAAGACAGACTTAACACACCTCGACAAAATCCACAGGAATAAGGTAAGGGAAAATCAGTCTTCTTTTACCGAACGATACATTACAAAAATTGAGCTGGCGCTGAACCAGGGAAACCTGTGGTTGCAAAAAAAGAGAGAGCGGGGCACGCTATCGCTGTGGAAATCCCAACGGGGGTATTTGGCCACGAAGTAGGGGGCAACGTAGGGGGGGGGTGCCGAGACACGGGAGGAAGGAGGTCGTGTTGACCAGATATTTTACACAAGGCAACGAAGTGCCGTGGTTGGGGCGCCAGCGGCAGCACTGCCCTGTCATGTCTGCTTGTGTGCGCCCTCCCACCGCCGTGTCCCGAGTCCGTGTTCTTCGCCCATTCCGTGTGCAGAAACGATTGTGCGAATATCACGTATGGGAAGTGGCACAAGCCTCCATTCTTGAGCTATGAAAAGACATGGGTGATATACAAAACGAGACGGCATAGCAGGGTCACCGCGTCCCCCCCCCTTGACTACCTGACACAAATTTTTTTTATGAAGTAGCCTAGACCTCTGCTTGCAGCCAGAAATGCTATGACTAATTTGCCAGATATATCAGTAGACTGGGGTAACTTGTTCACCGAATGAAAAGAAAAATCTTGAAACGTGTTCATGAACGATTTTTACTTTTGGCGGGAGTCTACTATATACCAAGTCATTGTTACTGTATAACTTGTATGCATAACATAGGTATACTCAGCAACAAAGGTGGATCTTCTACAAACAACTCGCAGCTGAAGCCGCTAGACTCCTAGCCTGTATTATATGTTTAACCCGTGTTCAGCTTTTTGTCTCTTTTTCAGTACCAGTCGGTACTCCGTCCTCCTATCCGGAAAGGTTCTGAGAAGAATTCGGTGAATGTAGATGAGTGGAAGCACATGCTGGACGTTCTGTGGAGCGATCCAAAGCAGAACAAAGGTGAGAAAAGAAGTTCATAGTCCGTCATGAATGCGTAATGATTATGCTATACTCAGGATGCTGGCCAAACGTATTCCGAGGTGGTGGATCGTACTTTGGAGCCGACATCACAGCGTCTTTTTTGGAAAAGTTTGTTACCTCTATCCAACGATTCACTGTAGTAGCGAAGTTCTACCATCTCTTTCAGACACGGATTCAGTCTACTCGTTCGATCACACGAGTGCAAATTCGAGGGCTACGAGTATACGCACAATAAAATGTAAGAGAAAATAAACTGTATTAATACTTATACGGCTTGTCTTTGCTTACGTGCGAACTCCAGCGTAAAACCTTTCGTTTCTGTCTTAGCCCAAAAGT